GGAGGGGGCTCCGGCACCGCGCGCTCGGCAGCCGGGCTGGGACAGAGCGCCCGGACCCGCGGCGGTGGCGGCAGCGGCGCTACCCACCCTCCGCCACAGCATCCACCGAAACAGCAAGCCACCGAGCCACCGGCCCCTGGGGTAAGCCACAGCGCGCAAAGGGCAGTGACGGTGACGGTTCAGATGCTTCAGGTTACTACCAGGTGCCAATAAGGGAGATTAGAGACAGAAAAGGAGATTACAGAGAGATCAGAGATAAGAGGTGTACCTTTCTGTGTCCCTTGTCACACAGCGCGCGCGCGCGCACACATACACACGCGGATCTGTACACACATGCATGCACAGACATCAGTACATGCACACATTCCTTGCTACTACCATCTAAATATATGCACCGCCACTCTAAGCCCTGCAACGTTGCGGGTGTTTGTCCTGATCCCTGCATAAAAACCGGCAGGTATGTGCTAAAGTCCAGACTGGAACAAACCGCCACACACGACTGAATCGCAGTCAAACTCGAGGAGACATTTAACCTGCCCAATTGTTTCACTAAGCCAGGTACACCACCCCCTCCACATTTCTGAAACCAGTTGTGAAATCCTGCAATTATTCCTAAAATTTGCCGAAAATGTACTTTAGAAAACATAATTTTGCTATCTATGCAAGGTAAAGGTGAACCTAAAGGATGAGTGTGTTTCGTTTTAATGTTTTACGTGTAGCCATCTGGCCACTTTTTATTGGGTGACATATCATATGAGCACTTTGGTGTAGGCTTGGACAAACTACAGCCGGAGGTAAGGCTGGAAATGCCATAAGAATTAAGGGTGCTAAAAATGGATGCTGGATAGCCTACATGAAAGATGGCATATAGCTGTAGTTTTGATATGGGGGGGGAATACATGTGAATATTTATATACCACGAAAGTCGTTGGGGAGGGTTGAGTCTTGTCCTGAGTATCTGACCAGGTAAGTCATTCATAAGAAAACTAATTACCTGTGCATGTATTTTGGACTTGTATAATTCAATAAGCTGCATGTGTGCATCTCTGCTGTTCTTTGTGGCCATGCAATTATGAATTCGGTCTTTTAAAATGATAGCTTTGGGGAAATTTAAAAAGTGGATTTTATGCATATATAAGGTATTTCAAAAGCCATTGTGCTGAATACATATGTTGCAAGGAAGGAAAATCTGATGCTACAGACAATATAAACATTGCTTGAAATCTAATGTAAGGCCTGTATATTCTAGGACAAATCCACTGACTTAATATAGTCTAACGCTATGTTTATTTATATTTCAAAATCAGGAATTAGGTGTCTTTTCAACCAAGATAATGGGTCTTACATCCAGCCATATTAAGATAAAAAGAAAACTCAGTAAATGTTGAATACAGCAAATAAGATACAACATACAACATGGTTGAAAATGTCTTCCTTGCAGAAGGCTGTCCATTGCTGTGTCTACACATTTAAAAATATTTGGAGGGGGGGGGTGGCAATAAGAAATGCTAGAAAGCAATAGGGCGGTGAATGCGATACCTGCCGGTTAATCACACAAATTCTTCAGAAATCTTTAGAATCACTTCCTTTTATGCCAATAGTCTCTCAAATGCACTGGCTGAAACTGTTGTTGTTTTTTTTTCTAATATGAAGTTAATTAGACAAACTTTGAGCCTTGAGCGACGGGCATTACAGGAGACGGTGAGGGTATGTCAAGAAAGGGGGGAAAAAGTGTCTTTTTTTATGACCAAACCAGGAGGTTACACAGCTGGCATTACACACATGACAGATGTGCATATTTGGAGCCTTAAATAAACAGAAGCAGAGAGGCATATTATCTAGCAAGAGACAGCAGCAGACATTCGCCAAAAAATAAAGACAGACATAAAGGTAAAGACAGACAGATAGACATTACACAAGACAGCAAAATAAAGGGGGGGTGTAGAGTCAATAAAAAACGATACAACCTGAACTTTTCGCGAATTAAAAAATGCAAATATATCCTTACATATGCATCAGCATTAAAAATAATACACGCTGGAACCAACAGGAGCGGGAACAGGAGGAGGAGGAGAAGGAGGAGGAGGAGGAGGAGGAGAGGTGGAGGAGGAGGAGAGGAGAAGGAGGAGGAGGAAAGAATGGAGGCGCCTCGGAGCCCTGATTATGCATGGGCTGGAGCTGCCTCCTCTAACCTGTTCTTCTCGGAGCCGGGCAGCCGGCGGTCCTCAGCCGCCCACAGAACAGGAGCCGAAACAACCGTTCCCGAAGGCTAAGGCGTTTATTTTTCTCTTTTGGGGGTTTTGGCGGTTGTTTCAGGGGCTCGCCAACTGGCCCCTTTAATTAAAAGCTTCAATAAAAGGCGATCGCGCCAGGAATGCACGGGCTCCTCTTCGCGCAGGATTTGCATATTTTTTTAATGCCCTAATTTCCTTGATGTATGTAAATGTAGCCGGACGTAGAGGGAGACAGGGAGCTGACGTCAATGGACGTGACCTCGCAGCTAAACCTTGAACGTGAAGCCGGGATGGGGGAAAACACGGAGCGGCAGCCGGCGGAGCCCGCGAGTGCGGGCGGCTGCAGTCGCGGTGGCCAAGTCCAGGCCCGAAAGGGCCCAGGGTGCCAGTGCCAACCCCGGGGGAAGAAGCGCCGCCGCCTTGTTTCTCCACCGCCGGGCTTGCAGCCCCTCTGGCTTTCCGTCCGCGGACACAGGCTCTTGTCCTGCGCCTCCGGCTCTACCAAAAACACGTTTTTTTGGCTTCTCTCGGAAAAAGCAAACACCCTAAACCAAAGCAGCAGATCATAAGCCAAATAAAACCCCAAATGTTTTAGACCAATGCTTGGGTAGCTTATCAGAAAAGAGACTTGACAATAGAACGCCCCCCCCCTCCTCCCACAAGAAGGGGGGGTGGGTGGAGAAGACCTCAGACAACAGCAAATCATTCCTAAAACACGCTAAGTTACACGAGTTTCCGGTAGGGAGAAGAAATCGCCCAGTCGACTGGAGGGGGCTTCTGGTTTCAGTACCTCTTTACCTGTGCCCTCATTGTGCGCGCTGGCTTCATTAACAAGCATGCCATTAGCGTGCGTTTTTCTGTGTTGGAGGTGGTGTGAGAGTGTGTAGGCGCGCGCGCGCGCGTGTTGGGGAGATGCTTGAACTGGGGAGCACCGAGGCAGGCGCTGTGAGCGAGATAAGAGGGCAACGTGTCTCTCCGCAGCCGCGTTTGCGGCATATCTGCGGGGTAAGCCAGGCCAGAATTCCTGGACTGGAGTTCGAGTCTCACCCGTGGGAAGGGGGAGCTCAGAGAAGGCGCTACGCACAGCCTGCACTTCCGATTACCTTGTCTGGGGAGGGACTTGAGAGCCGAGCCCTTCCATGGCCGTGCTGCCTGGCGGGGTTTAGCCTGGCGTGTTTTCTTTCACTTGGAGCTCTGTGGCCTCGGCGAGAGGGTAGCGGCGCGCGGCCACCGGGCAGCGAGGCCGTCAGACGCCCCCGCTCCGGCCCTGCGCGCCGGCGTGTGCGTGCCCGCGTAGCAGGCGGGGGTCGCCGGCACCTCCCTGTGCACGTCCGCCCCCGCCTCTGCTCGCCACCGGCTTCTGAGCAGCTAAGAAATGGTCCTCGGCCTCTTCTGGGCCCCTGCCGCGAGAAGCCGGGGGCGGAGGGCAGAGCCGCCGGCTGGCCAGGAAGGAGGCCGCTGTGTGGGCTTCCCACTCCTGCCCTTGGCCGCCAAGGCTGCCGTTTCTTCTTTCCATCTCGCAGCCCGAGCTTTGTTTTCCTGATATGCTCGTGGCCACCGGGCCCCACGCCTCCGAGAGGAAACTGTGCGTGTGCGCGGGGGGCGGGCGCGCGCGGCGGGCGGGGGCCCTCCCGCCAAGGACACGCTTGGCTGTCTGTCCTCCGGCTGCACTTGGCGGGAAAGCTGGGGGCCGCCGGCGGGTGTGCGCGCCCAAGGCTCTCATTACCGCCTCCCGCTCCCCCTCCTCCTGCACCCGCCGCATTTACATACGGGCTTCTCTCCGGAATTTTTATGCCCCCCCCCACCTCCGCCCGCTTGCACGCGCGCAGGCTCGGAACGTGCGCCCGCGCGCTCAGACACCCGCGCCCTGGCTGCGGCTGGCCGGGCGCGCGAACAGGCCCCGGGGCGCCGGCCTCCCAAAGCACGAAGGATACTGGCACCCTCCCTGTCGCGCCTACAACCCAGATAACCTCCTGGCTCGTGTTTAGGAAGCCCACCTTCCCCTCAAGGCCCCCACCCTTTTCTCCCTGAAAAGTCCCACCCACATCTGCCGTTCCCTGGAAAACACGCGCGCGCGCGCACACACACTCCCTCACTCTTTTTCTTCTCCTCAAATAGATAACCCCTATGGCGCGTCCCTGCTATCATTTGAATAGCGCTGGAATTAAAAGAATAAAAATCTTTATAATGTATTTCTTGTCTTTAGTCAAACACATTTAACAACCAAAACAAAAACAGTGGGAGGAGTGAGGAAGGGGGAGTTGAACCAAAAGACCTTTCTTAAAAAAAAAAAAAAAAAAGTCTGCAAGTCAAAAGGTCATTTTCCAAGTTTGTAAATAAAAATTGCAAAGGGAGTCCTTAAAAAAAAGAAAGGAAAAGAAGAAGGTGGAAAAGATCCACAAGTTACATAAAATGATGCATTGGGAAAACAAGACAGGGCTATTCTTTTATAAAAATGAGTCTAAAGAAATAGGGGGGTAAACTCGAGGAAAAAGAAAAAGAGGGAGAAGAAAATAAAAGGTAGAAAAGGCTAAAGAAGTTTCCAAGAAATGTGTGCTTTGCGTTGTTCAATAGGAAAATGTAGCCATTGCCCTCCTTCAGACGAGACATTTCTAATTTGTTCCGTCTGTCAGGAGGGGACTATGAGAGGTTTGGGTGCAAATTCATTATCTCTAGCAACGCAGAACGTAGTGTGGGGACTGAAAAAGACCGTGGCAATGGATGAACAATAGGGCTTCAGTTCATCAGTAACAAAAGCAGTGGGGAAATTGGTTGAGTTTCAGAGCACGTCCTCCTCGGCAGAGGGGGCTGGACTAGACCTTGGACAGCCCCCCCAAAAACTTGCCGAGCCTCGCACACACCACTTCACTCTCCACTCCGAGGCTCAGGGAGCAAGTACCTGACGTGGGGGGGAAAAGTTGGCTTTTTTTCCTCCTTCGTCTTTTGCGCCCTTCTCTATCTTCCCAGAAGGGAAGGACCGTTTAAACTATTTTAGACGCAATCAAGGGGAAAAAAAATCACCGTGTGGAATTGAGCGGCAGTTTTAAATGTATTAAGGCGAGGGATCATCTGCAAAAAAAAAAAAAAAAAATTTTTTTGAGACGCCAAAAGGAGCCAGTTTGTGTACTGCAGCCGCCTTGTGACTCTGGATCTTGTCTTTTGGCCGGCGCCTTGATTCCTGCCCAGCTGGATTTGGGGGGCAACACTGCCTGGTGCAGGCATCAGAGCAAGTGAGTATCGTGGCGGCCTTTAGGTTGCAACTCGGCCAGCCGCCCAGGGCCAGCAGTGCCTGCCGCGGCCAGGAGCCCGCGCTCCTCACCTCACCTCGCCCGGGAGCCGGTGCCCGCAGAGCCCCGCTGCGGGCCGCGGGCTGACCAGTCCCGCGCTTTGCTTCAGTTAATTGATTGCGTGTCTCGGCTGCTAAACCTGTTGATCTCCGTGAGTGTCTGAGCCTGGACTGTTAATTATTCAGTGGCCTGACCCCCCAAATTGGAGGGAGATGACAGGAAAATTTCGCGTTGGAAAGGGAAATGATATATGTAATTTTGTGTTGTTGGTGATGAGACTTTCCCCTCTAAAACCAAGAGCCAAATATAATTGTTTGGTGTACCTAGTTTCAGAATTCTCATTTTGAATAATTCTTTTTAACCACCTGAAAGTTGCAATTACTTGGCAATGAAGTGAGGGTCTGATTGGATCCTGGTAGAAACTTATGTATAATGACTGACTATACTTGCTGGGTATTACTTCCTTTTCTCCTTGCCTTTTGGATTCTGGGAGGCAAGTGACAGTTTTACCCCAAATTCGGATTCGCCAAGATAGTGATTTGGTGCGTTTAGGCTTCAGAAGCTTAGTATCCCAGCGGAGCCAGTTCTCTGTGGTTTGCTGAGCCCAGACCCAAAGGCAAAACCTTCCTCGGTGGCCTGGAATTTTCTGAGGGAACTCGGGCTGTGGGAAGTCAGGCAATGTATCTGTACTAGTATCTGTGGCATTTTCTCTTGCAAATGTACCCGTGGTGATTAAATGGGAAACTGTCTTGAGAGGTCAGGATAGCAGTGGAATTGACCAGAAGTTAGACCCGAGGCCCTGTCAAGTCACAGCCACAGCCGGGGACTGTTGGAGATGAGGCTGCCTTGGGCCCTGAATGGCGGGGTCGGATCCAGTTTCTTCCCTCTCTTGGTGCCACCTCTACCCGACACACTACTTCCTTGCTTTGGCACCAGTAATTAGGGCGCTGTCTCCGGCAACAAGCTCCCATATTCTGCATAATTGAACCAGTGCAGTACTTTCATTTTGCAAACCAATAGCCCCACCCCACCACTCTAAAATAACAATAAGCATTTTTAAAATCATAAAAGAAAAAAAAAGCTGCCTATTTTCGGTAGTGTAAGACTTCTTGAATATTGAGTCGTGGGGGGATGGGAAAGAGGAATAAAAAAATCTACCACTTTACAGCAATCAGGTTTTACATTATTCATTGATTTACTGGAGGAAATAGCCAATCAGGAGCCTTAGATATGAATGCACATCTCACCGTACTGTGGCCTTACAGTAAACTATTTGCATCTTTCTAATGGACTAGATATTTATCCAGGGATTCCCATTGTTTGAAAGGCCTGGAAATTCAGTCCCTTAAACATTTAGAAAATACACTTTATTCCAACCTAAAAATTCTTACATGGAAGAACTCACTCCTCTTTTGTATGGCAGGTTACAGTGTTCAAATCCCTAATGTTTCTTAAGAGTCTCTCTTCCTCCCAAGCTAAAAATAAAAGAAGAAAGAAAAAATTAATTTCCCAAACCCCTCCAGATTCTGCATATTTTGCATTCCCATTATCATGCATGTCTCCATTTAAATGCAAATTAGCATATTTAACCCTGTGGGTACTGAAGCCTGGGTTACATTGTATTGGGGCTTTATGGAATCTCTTGGCATTTTAAGGAATCGTGGTCATTGTAATACTTGAAATGAAGTCAAATCTGTATATGATTTTATATATATTAAAACTGGTCATTTGTTTTTTTGACTATTTTTCAGATGACACTACAAAGATGCATAAAATGAATAGACAGTCCAGCCAGTCAAAGGTAATTCAAAATTTTATATTTGTGTGTACAAATCAAAGTGATATACAAAATCAAAATAGAATATGTCTTACTGGGTAGCAAGCCTGCAGTACCCCCCACTCCATATTATACATAGTATTCCAGGAAAAATCTGAGTTTCTATATGTACAGTTTTTTCCCTATAGGTAGCCTTTGTATATTATAGATCAAGGATGATACAACCATAACCTCTAACTGCCTTTAAAAAGAAATTTGAGATACAGAAGAAATAATAGGACACTTTTATTAGAAAGTAAGCCAGTCAAGTACCTTGCCTGAACTACACAAATCGCTGTAAATTAAATGGCTTTTATGTAGAAAATGGTAGTCTTGACTATACTAGTAGACTGTGGCTTACATGCATGAGAATCATACAAACTCAATATTGAAAAGGTATTTCAGTGATAGGGCAATTCTTTATATTCTCTGTGATGGTCTGAATAGGATTCAGAGAAGTATTCTAAATATTGGTGGCAAGCCTGGTGTATTTTCATCTATACAGTAGTATAATTCTGATCCAGATATGTGGAAAATGATAACTCTTCACTTTTAACTTAAGCAGACATTGTTTATTCCCAAGAAAACCAGGATGCTTCAATTCATGTTTCAGCCATCTGGAGACCTATAAAAAGATTAGAAAACAAGCATGACAATCACGTCCTAATCTACTGGCCATTAATGGGAATTTATTAGAGTATGGGCAGACAAGCCATTTGAATTCAGTATATTCTTCAATATGCATATTTCAAAAAGGGTGTTCTGCATAGCTAAACTAAATAGTTTTTTTTTAAAGAATCTGAAATAAAAACATATAGGTGTTAGTAGTTGTGTATAACAATGTGTGACAGACATTGCTGGTACTTTTTAGAGTAGCATAATTATTTCAGTATGTCTCACATCCTAGATAATAATATGCTGCTTGAAATGTATATGATGAACCATGATATGAACTTTGGTACTATTCAAAATAGTCAGATGTTCAATGTTAAGCCTTCCTATGTATCTTTTGTTTCTCCATATCTTGAAAGATGATGGAGAGGTCAAATATTTAATTGGCTATGTAGCTAATGAACAGCCTGCTTATAATCACTCTGTTGGCTATTTTCACTTTTAGGGGCTCTTATAATGAATCTCGTATATAAGAGATAGGAATGTGGGCAAGTCCTGGAGTCAGTTGATATGATTATGTGGCATAATCATTTGCTATTTTAGGACAATATCTTCTGTAGCGTCTAATTGTGGAAGCACCTCAGATGTTCAGTGTCTTGGCTTTCATGATAGCTACTTTGAGTCTAAAAATGTACTTGAGTGTGAAATGTGGAAATATAGCTACATGAATTGGCAAATTCACACAAATATGGCAGTGATACACACATGCAGACAGACATGCGTCACATCTTTCTACTTTCACTACTCCCATCCAAACATACATAAAGCAAAAAGCTCTTCTAAAAATATCTAGTATTTCTTGGGATTTTAAGGAACTGAATCCATTTGATCATATGCTTACTTTATATAATACATGCCAAATCCCTAGATGATTCTGTTTCTAGGTCTTGGAAAGCAAGGCCAAAATACTCTCAATTTTCTAAGGCAGCAAAGCTAATTAGGGTTTTACATAATATCAAAAGTGGCATGAGCCTCTGTGATATGTTCAATTCTTATCCAGTAGTTTATCTTGTGACCTTATAGTTCAAGAAAAATCTAACTACTGGAACTGTGTTTATCTGAATTGGTTTTGTAGTTTGCATGCACATTTTACATATAATCCAGTGCAGCCATTTCTGATGCTAATTCACATACAAAATTTTGATAAGAAAAATAGATGAGTGATTCTATAGTTTATCTTTTCTAAATAATGAGCACAAAAGCTCACCCCAAAAAGGAAATAAATAAATAACCTAGGAAAAGTTGATAGCCATGTTACTAAATTGCATCTTCAATTGATGTAATGTTGTTTGAACTCCTTGATTGGGGATATTTCTTTGCAATTCTGGTTTTCTGGTCAGTCTTTTCTATAGGGCATATGCTTTATATGTAATTGGGTAAGCATTCACATTTATCTCTTGAATAAATACATCACTGAATTAATGATAGTGTATATTAATTCCAAAAGTGTTTTAGCCACTTGGGAAAATAGCCAACCTATAGAAATGATAGCATTGTGATAAACTAGTGATGTGTGAAATGAATATGAAGATTTATGACACTTGCTTTTAGCATATATTTTAAAGAATAGTAACACCACCAAACAGAACTCATAATTTTAGAAAACTGTTCATAAGGCTCACCCAAGGTGAATATGCATCATATGGGGACTGTACCTTATATGTGCTGATAAAGAACATCTACTAAACTATAGGTGTTGTGTGTGTGATAGATGTAGATTATCCATTACAAAGGAGAGCCAGAAGAGTTCTTTTAAGTGATCATATTCACACTCTGAGAAGTTCTGAAGAAAGGAAGGAGGCTAATTAATTAATAAAACAATATCCCCCTCTAGAGAGAAGAAAGGTGGGGCTTGGAAAGGGGTGGGGGGCGTTGAGGGTAGAGTTACACTTTTACTATCCAGGTGTTTTACCTTCAATTTTCACAAGATGACAATACTTTTCTTCATAATTTCATAAGCAAGATTAATGTATTTTATCCTTTTGTATGAAACTGATGTTTGAAACTATAGACAAAAGGCTCAGCATTTTTATCAAGGCAGAGTTGTGTAACGAAATTAGAAACTTGCTGCAATGTTTACCTGTGCAACACTCTAAAGGGGCACACCCTGTATAGAGTCATTTAAAAGCAAAACAACAACAAAGATGAAGTCGGCATGCTTAGAGCATTCAGTTTGAACTTACAGAACAAAATCCACTGCCCTATTGCTATGGTACATAGATACAAAACATGACTGAGCTATGAAGCCATTAAAAATACACCACCAGAGCAAATTGTCAATGTAATCACACATCGACTCACTGTGTAATACAGATCTGATTCCCAGCCCCAGAAAGCAAGGCCTTGCTTTAAGCAATAGCAAAGTGCCTTCCATCTGTCTGCCTATGCAATCTGCCAGAAGAGAAATGCAGGCAAAGACGTTCCCCAGATCTGAAATGCTTTTATCTGTCCTTAGAGAGAGATTTCTTCCAGTCTTTGGATATTAGAGCGATCTACACTAGCAGTGCGGAGGTAAAAGGCCGCGGGTTGCTTTTCCAGGAGCAGTCGGTAGTGCTAGCGGAAGAGATGTTGATTGAGAAAATAGAGCTTGTTGCAGTGTTGCGGCTGCTGCTGCCGCTGCCGCTGCTCGGGCAGCAGGCGTGGGGCAGTTGGCTGATCACTGATGCATATCAATAACCGTGTACTTGAGATTTCTCATGACATCATCATTACCCTGGTCTCCCGCGGTCTCGAACCTTTGACCTTGCCGGGCTGGTCCACATTTTGGCAGTGAAAGCCCCTCCAATGATGGCCCTTTTCTCCTTCTTTCAGACCGGGGGCAGCAGCACACCAGCAAGACGGCATCTTCTCCCCAGCCTAGAAGCCCTGTGAAATCGAGGATCTTCCCCCTAAAACACACACACACAAGATATGTGCAATCAAGCTGCCACCGCTTGCTAAAAAGCCTAACCCAAAAGGATCTGGACCAGATCCCTGAATCAGCTGTCACTTCTATAGAATGGGATTTTTTTTTCCTTCCTCCTTAACCTGCGCTGGAAATTGCCTTTGGCTTTATACATCTTTATAGAGGGAGGCAAAAGAGTCTGGCGTGAGAATGAAGCAATTTACAATGCAAATAGAGGCCTGTGAAGGGACGGATGCTGCTCCTCACTTCTAAAAGCTTGCTGCACCTGAGTAGCTGGTCTTATTTTCTGATATTAATAGTTGAATTGTTGGCTAACGCTGCCGGAGATTACTTGCTGAAAGGAAAAAAAAAAAAGTTCGGAATAAACTTTGAAAGCCACAGATCTCGTTTGGATGTTTTAGCCGCACACACAAGCAGAACCCAGGTCATATTTACACACGAGGAGGAATCTGATGCGCGGCAAGTCTCCTGGAGAACTACTCTTCGGTACTGCCCGAAAGAAAGGATCCAGGTCCGGAGTCTGGCCAGAGGAAGACAGAGGTGTGTGAGGGAAGTGAGTTGTTATCTTTGGTTATCTAGCTGTATGAGTGTATTGGTCTTCATAAAGCTAGATAACCGAAAGTAAAAACTCCTTCAAGATCGCCGGGCAGCGTGTGAGAATGAAAGCCTCCAACCAACAGACAGTAAAAACCAGAAAGGTCAGGAATACTTATTGAATCTAACTTTGTTTTGTTTTTGTTTTTGTTTTTCCTTTTGATTAAAGGTGGGGTTAGCGGAAGGGAAATGGCACACATATGCCAAAACCTAAAGGTGCCAGATACTTTGAGAGGCGTAGTTTCAGCTACAAAGGAGAATTGTATAGAGCTAATGAGTAAAAGATGCACTTGCAGTTTGTTCTACTTTAAGGCAAAAGTTTACATATGAGGGTTTTTTTTTTTCTTTAGAAAGCTATTGGTAGAGATGTCTGGTACTTAGTTTAAAAATGATTCTATAATGTGTGGATTTATGCAGTTCCCTTCTGAGGCTCCCCTCCCCCTGAAAGTTGGAAGATTATGTCTCCAAACTACATGTATTGAGGTTGCATGACAAATTATATGAATTAGACTTTCAGAAAAGTTTATATTGGAAAGTTAACAATTTATAGCTACTAAGGACATAGAACTAGCAGGGAAATGCAAGAAAAAAAAAAAAGCAAAGGCTGATTTTTATTCTTCTATTCAAAATACAAGGACAGATGCTTCTCTGTTCCAAGAGGGTTTCCTTGAGGAAGCTACTGAAGCAGAAAGACATGATGGAGACGAGATCGCCTCCCCTCTTGTCAAAGTGTTAAAAAAATGTTCTGTCTTACTCTGCGCCTAGCATTGGAAATGAAAGTGACATTTACGCCACAACCCACGTGTGCGCCTCCTCTCTTTTTGTTTAAGGATGATCAGGTCTATCCAGGAAACAGCTCTGGCATCCCAAACTGAAATAATTAGGACGTATATAGACCTGACAAAAATGGAAAGGGGGTGGGGAATCTGAGGGTCTGTCTTGCCTAATTGATTCCGCTAAACGGAATGCAGGAGATGTGAACGGCAGGACGCTCCGATTCCCACGCTCGGGGGCAAGTGGTAAAGCGGGCGGGCAGCCTATGACAGACAGCCCTGTTGGGGGGTGGGGGTATGAAAAAAACATCAAGTGCACACACCATACTCATCTCCATCGCTTAAGAAAGTAGAGGCATTTCCCACCCACAGCCATCTGCAGCCTCCCAAATGGCAACACCAACTGTTCTGTAGCTGCGGCATACTGTCTGTTTCTGTTAATTTTATAACCGCTGCTTAATCTGGCCACAATTAAGTTTGGCTTTCTCCTTTGGTTGAGATTTTCAATATTTTTTAAAGAAAGCTTGTGCAAAGTGGTTTCAAGAAAGGCCCATTACTGCCTGCCCCTGGTGTCAAGTTCTCAGTCTGTGCTTTGGCCTTGTGTCCACCTTTTGGTTTTGGTTTTGGGTGGGTTATAGTTGAAAAGCTCCATCTTTCTACAGCAGACATTAGTACCACTTCCTCAGACTGTGTCTTAACCTAATAAATCTAGGAACTTGGCCTAATTACGCTAGCACACACACTGGAAGTAAAGAAAGTTGATTACAATAACAATATGATAAAAGTTGTTTTGGTATAGTCCCAGCTAGAGGTGTTCTGAATAGTCATTTAAATTTAATCTAAAAATGACTATGCTTACTATAAACTTTGGGGCTTTGGAGCTCCCTACTGTAATCTTCTCATATAAGTCCTCGCATTTTTTCATGTGTTACCAAGCAAATATTTGTATAGGCACTACATTGCAATAAGCAAATGTCCAAAATGGCACATTACCTTCCACGTGGTCTGGGTTGCTGAAAATCCCAAGTAGATTCATTTTTCTTCAAAAAACAGTATGTTTTTCTTTGTAGCTTCAATCTTTATAAGACTTACGGAGACTTTACAGACTGGAGAAGCCTGTAAAACCACTGTTAGTTTCAGTTAGAAATTCCAAGGCATTTCATTAAGGTAAATTCCCAATTTGGCTGCTGAACGCGTGCCAAAGTTTTACTACTGTAGTGACCGTTGAGAAGACCCTTGTTTATTTACATTTGAAGCACTGTTTGTGCAAACAACCTTTCATTGTTAAGTGCCTGTATTCCTTTCATTTACTTCATGTCCAGGGGTGCTATTTACCTAGAACCATTGTCTACTACAATTAACATTTACATTACAAAGTGTGTGGTTTTCTTTCTCAAGGAGGTTCAATTAAGGCAATAAGATGTTTGCTGGGGGAACCTATTGTTTACTGAAAGCACTCAATGGAGTCAAATTACTAAAGCTTTTGCCTACATCTTGGTCTTTTATGCAAATGTGTTAAATATAACATCTAAGGAAATAAACAATATTATAATTATGTGTTTACCATTGTCATATCAAACTTGCTTTGTATCATACTAATGTTACATGACTTATCAATCAATAAAAATACATTTCAATGTTATTATTTTCATTTTATTTTTTGCTGTTCCACTGCTCTTGCTGCAACATGTCCCAATTTTTCTTTTTTCTATTACACATCAAATTTCTGACATTTTGTTTTATTTGTGTGTGTTGAAGAGGGGTACTGTATCTGAGCATGGGTCGGAAGGGTGTCAGAGGTAATGTCTACAACGACCTTATAATAAGGTGATATTTCTTGAAATCTGAAATATTCCAAAGGCATGTACATTTAAGTCAAAAGAAGTGTAAATATCAGTTAAGTAGTTCTTTGAAAGCTAGTTTTAACATTGGCAGAAACCGGATCAAGTTTATTTAGCATACCACTGCATTGTAAAACAGTTGGAGTGAAGTTGCAGGTTGCGTGAGTATGCATGTTAACTAGTGGGAACCAAGCTCAGTCTTTGTGAAAGGGGAGCAGCAGATTGCTGTGCAAGGCCAATGTTAAAAAGGCAGCTGAATTTAACACCATCTGGAAGAAAAGATCCCTTCACGACTTTCTCACACCGTCAGACAAAACTAGTGTCTCTTGTTCCGGGCCCTTGTCTATGCAACCATACAATACTGAGTCATTATACTTTTGCTGAGAGAAAATTTGAGAACACAATATGGGTAACCAGTGAATGACCAAGTTTCATTGTGCCCGCTTAAGTCGATTGAAATCTACGTCTAGAGCTATGAATGGTAGTATTGTTTTCCTCACCAGGGCTGTACTAAATGTCAGCACAGTGTAAAGAAAAACTTGAAGTCTGCAAATAACTTACCAGATCTCAATTATAATATTTTCCCACACTAGAACTAATATCATTGCGAGGGGCTACATTGCAGAAAATACAAAAAGAAAGAAAAAGAAATAGAGAATTCATTTAGAAGTTATTTTACCTGAACAAACATTTTAATTTTCTGATGGGAACTTCCATTCAAAGCTACAGGCTGGGTTGAGAAGTGGAATTCATTATCGGGAAGTTCAAGTTACAAAAAATACTTCTTGTGCAATTAAAGTGGAATAAAACAAACAACTAGTACCATCTGAAATCCTCTCCTTAAATATAAACACACTCTACTTGAATTTTATTGTTTTTAATTCTGCTTAGCATTACTAGTATGATTCTAGTTTAAATATTGCTTTAAATTTGGCACACACTGCTCTTTCAAAGTTTGCCACTCTGACTGACATTGCAAAAGAACATTATAGATGGTTGTTTCCAAAAACATACATCTGGCACCTTCCTAGGTAGATTCTGGTGGCCCCAGGAATACTCCCTTTATAAGACATCCATCCCCATTTCCTAACTTTTCTTCTCTCATGATGTGTGTAAATCAGTTATTATACGTAGGTTTAACATTCACATAATCTATTTGTCTGTAAACAGTCAGTAAAGGGAAACAAAACAGTTCAAAAAGAGTAAAAGGAGTTGGTTGTGTATGTTTTATTAGGATGTCTATTTTAAATATAATTGACTTTGCAATTTTGTTATTGTGTCACTAAGTGTCTCATAGTTCTTAACATGTAAGTGCAAAACAATGAGTAATTGCTGTTTTGCTGAATAATACATCTGAGTTGCCAACGTCAAAGGTATTATTTTGTGTATTTCCAAACAGGAATGTTAACTGCAGGTTTTGACATCTAGAATCTTTTCATGAAGTACTTAGAAATAGGCCTATAAAAATGGCACATGTGAAAGTAAATATAAAGATACAACCAACTCACTTCCCTTGTCCCACTTTATGGCAGAAAATTAACAATGAAAAATCACTCTATAATAGAATTGTCAAGGTTATAACTTAAGACACATTTATATAGAAAAACCCAAACAACAACAAAAGTAGAAAGTGGCTAGAAGGAGTAAAAAGGGGTATGTAGGAAGACTGGAACTATCCTTGCAGTATATGAATGGATCCATTCACCAGTATCAACCCCCTACTGAAGGTACCATTAATATGCATGATAATGAGACAAATGCATTGTTTACATTCAAAACGAATTATTTCCCCAAAGTGACTTTTCTTAAGTCTTCCTGAACACTAAATATTCTACTGCTTGGTGTTCTATGTGTCTTATCTTTTAAATTAAAATGATTTTTTTATTTAGGAAAATATGAAATTCTAATTTGATTTTGTGTAGTCTGATGAAAATTAAGGAACCACTTTGAATAAGAGATAAGAATAAACACATTTCAAGTTCTGAAGTGCTCTTTCTATCCATAGACCACATATAAATAGTCCAAGACAGGTTGTTAGCATTTCAAGAATTTTGACTTGATAAAAATGGAGGGGTGAACTCAAAAGTTTTATTTTCCAGTGTGACTAAAATATGTATTAGATGCACCCATGTCTTGTTTTTTCCTATGACTCTGTTTCTCTGCAAATGCCATTTGGGGTTATGAACATTGATATCCTTTCCCTGGCTTGCTCTGACTTATCTTTTCCTTACTTAGTTAAAAGTAAAATACACCATAATATGATGTTGCATTTAGATAGGTAATGCAGGTGGAGGTGCTAAGATAGGCAACTCGAGACAAGCTGTCCTTTAGAAGTTACTGAGTAAAAAGACATCTATAATAGTGGGTCAACTGTTAAGCACTAGTATTTAAGACAGTTAAACAGTCCTATAGCACTGGGGCGTGTAAGGTAGTTCTTCAGTGTCTCCAGATTTAATAGATGGCTTTTGTTATCTTGTTTTTGTGTCTACTGTTCTTTTTTTTTAAACTCAAGTTAAACAACCTAGCACAGCAATCAGCATTATATTATTTTCATCTGCCTAGAGAAACCATTTTATAGCTTCCGGGAACTGTTCGACGTATTGTGGCGTTGATTCTAAAGATAGTGAATGGAAATGATAACTATATAGTTGACTGCTGCTAAGGGATATCTGTCAACCCAGAGAGCTTAGAGGTAGTGCACTTCCTTGGAAAGGGGAAGCCCATCTTTGGGTTGGCAGCTTGTGACTTTTTGCAGCCAAGTGCCAGATAGAGGGCATAGAGGTCTTAAAAAAAAAAAAGTGAAAATCGACTTTATTCCGAGAAATATGGAGTTCTAAGCCATATTTGTTCGAAGAACACATCACTGTGTTTGGAGTTTGACTCGGTTTTAGTTGAGCTTGGGCACAACCTAGCCTTGAGATCTAAAAATAGCCAGGCTTAGCAACCGCTAAACAAGGTGCTGAGCGTGGGAGGTGCCCAGAGGAGACAGCTTCCGATTCTGTGACTGGCTGAGGAAGTGGCTAGGATAGGTAGTGGCTGCAGGGACGGCGGCCGGGACGCCACCCCGCAGCACAACGCCTCCCGTAAACTGCCAGCAGCCAGAATCCTCCCGCAGCCGCGGCCGCCGCAGCCCTCTCTGAAAGCGGCAGCCTGATTGGTGTTTCCCGGGAGACGGGCTCCAGCCGCGGGAGCCGGTGCGCCGGCGCGCGCGCTCCCGTGACAGTCGCGCGCTCCCCGCTGGTGCTTGGCGGGGTGACTGGTAGCTAGCTGCAGCCGGGGTAGCGGGCTGCGAGGCCGCCCAAGTTCGCGCCAACATAGGTTCGGGCGATTGTTGCAAGAAAGGCCGCAGGACCCGACCGAAAGGGGCCCCCAGCCTTCCTTTGCAGAGTTCCGGCGTGCAGAGTTGCATCCGCTAGGATTGTCCTGTTCTTTGATTTGCCCGCCCCTCGGTCCCAGACCAGTCGCCTCGACCCTGCCACTGCGTCAGCTCGGGTCTGCGGTTGCTTAGGAATCCCTGGTTTGGACTTGTAGTTGGGGGTGGCGTCGGGACTTAGTCACACCAGCACTTTCGTTGGAGTCAGGCGTCTCGCGGCGACCACCCCTTTCCCAGGGACCCTTCCTCTGACTAGTAGGCAACTTGTGATGAAGGGGCTTGCTTTTGCTGACACTCAGGTTTTCTAGTTCTGCCCTGACATCTTTCCGGGATATGATCAATATCATTGATAAAGCAACAGTGTGCGCCTCCCCAAACCCATTTTTTAAAAACTGGCGAAAAACTATTAACGACTTCCCCTCCCCCACACCGTCCCCTTGCCTCCTCCTCCACCCGCTTGCACTTAAAGGTTGAAGTTTTGTCACTGCCGAGCCAGAGTTGGTGGGCGGACTCCCCACTGGGCCCTTCCCTGCATCACTTTCACCTCTACACCCATAACCTTTAGGACTCAGGTTGTATCTTCCCCCTTTCAGATTTACTGGAATTATTCATGTCCTCGTTGGATGGATACAGCAGAACTTGTTCAGAAATTACTTTAAAAAGAGATCTGGGTCTTAAGCACTTACTAAAGCCAGTTAATAACATCATGCATGGACATTTAAACTTGTTGTAAGTTGCAGAGAGGATTAGTGGGAAGTCACGCTGTGCGCAGCTAATGATACCATCTTAACTCCAACCAGGCTAAATCCACCTCGCCCGCGCAGGTCCGGCTCTGTGGCCCTCGGTGAGGCTGGGGAATTGGAGGGTATAGAAGGAGCAATAGGATGGTTGAAACTGGAAGACTTGCCCTGGTCCTCCCCATTTGTTGATCACACGTCCCGTGAGTCTGCGGGCGGTCCTGTTACTGGGTGAGCTAAGCATCGGACCGATGGCCCAGGCTTTCTAAACGTTTTCTTAGTAACACTGAAAGGACACTTTTGCCTACAGGCAAAAACAGGTTGAGTCCAATGATCGAAGGGTACACTAAATATTGCAAGCTCAGAAGAGGCTTCGGGTTTTCAAAGGTGGAGACTTTTTAATTACTGATCAATTGTATCACAAAGGCCATTTACTTTCTGTTGTGCTTTTACAAAAGTAGTCAAGCTCAGTATTTCACAGGTAAAATTTGAATCAAGTTATTAACTTCCTTTCATTGGCTTGCTCAACTGATTTCAAAGTGATTACTGTTTTAAGGCAGTTTGCCACTACTTTATGACAGGACCAGTTGCGAAAATGCTGTATTATTAAAATACTCACCAAACAATATTCATTTGATTTTGTCACTAAATAGCTATAGGACAGATTTCTTGTGTTAGAGTTTCTTTTAAT